ACTTACTGCCGGCAATGTGGACCAGACTCTGACACCGGTCGTACAAGGACCTGACAGCCCGTTTGGCAGAAATATTTGACTTAATTTGAGTCAAATTTTCAGACTAACAAGACAAATAATCTTACACATTCTGAAAACAAGACGATTATTCTTACACAATCAGTTCTTGTTTAGTAAATCAGTCTGAAAACAAGATCAAAAAGACTTTTTGGCTGATATAAGGTTTTAAAACTTGGTTAGGTGGACAGTTTGATTACTGAGCTGCATCAGGAGGACACCATCATGAATGTTTGCCAACCAATCATGATGCAGCTAACACCGTGCTCTACCTGAGGTCTATCCATCCTATTTTAATGCTCATTTTGAGCAAACTTTTAAAATGTTGCTTCTTCCCACAAGCCATCTGTGTGTTAAATGGTGACAGAGACTAATAATTAAGATGCATTAATCATTCGAACTCTCTGGACTTTTGATACAAACACTCCAGGGACAGTGTCATTATCTTTCACAGGAACAAACTGCACTATTTGACTGGAGCTTATAGTGTTACTCTGAACATTTCTAGTACTGTGTTTATATTTTTATTCCAGTTTGATGTTTATAATTTGTTTGTATCATTTATGCTTTTCTTTTTGATTGTTTTTCTTATTTGACATCTGATATTTTAATCTATTTTATATTTGGCACTGTGTTTTATTCTTTGTAATTTGAAAATATTGATTATTTTCAAATTTTTGGACATTTAATACTACAGTGAGAATGTTAATTCAGAGGTTGTGTGTGCAGACTTTAGTGCAAAGCAACTGCACTACAAGTTATGTTGTGTCTCACTATGCATGTGACAAATAAACTTGATTTGATTTTGAAAAATAGAAATGCTAATCAGACGTGTTTCCATCAAACTGTCTTGTGTTGAATCAACCAGGCCACACAAAGTGTGATTACATCAGACGTTACACGTGTCTGTAGTAAACAGGAAGTGACCTCACAGGGACACATCTCAGGACGATGGAGAGAAGTCATCAGGAATGTGTTGCTGCTATCAGGAAAGTTGTAATTATTCTGTCATATCAGCTGGTGTTGGTGATGTTCCTGCTGTCTGGAGACACAAAATAAATGTAATTCTCTTTACTTTACAGGAAGACCCCAACAGCAGGAGGAGGGTCCAGCTGCAGCTGCTCCAATTATTGTTCAGCAGGAAGAGCTGATCAAGGTCATTGGGCCTCATGCAGGAACCATCCGTACGCACAGATTTGTTCTTAAGTTGTGCGTACGAGTGATTTAGGAGACTTTGTGGCATTCACCAATGTTTTCGTATTCTAAGATTT